TTGTATTTAATTTGCTGCGCATAGCTTATCCTAGAATCTTTTGGACACCATGTGCAGCAACATTGTATAGACTTCATGCTGGAGGCTCTTGACGGTTTAACTGAAAAATCATGTGTAGTGAATAAGGCCAAGTATGTTACGAATTTCATTTATAGTCATATCACCCTCAACATGATGCGTACTGTTACAAAGAAGAAAGAGATTGTGAGGCTTGGGGTCATGAGATTTGCGACCTGGTACTTATGCCTAGATAACATACATTCGAGGAGCGTGCAGTTGAGGCAAATGTTTACCTCGGATGAGTGGAGAGCATGCAAGTTGTCTAAGGCTCAGGTTGGGAAGAAGGTGAAAGGTATTATACTTTCTAAGGCTTTTTGACGAGAGGTGAAGGACGCTCTTAAGGTATTTTTTCCTCTTATCAAAGTCCTTCGCATGGTTGATAGTGACAAGCCTTCTATGGGCTATATATATGATGCTATGAAGAAATGCAAAAGAGAGATAGCCCAAAATTTCAATGATAAAGAAACCCTACAAGCCTGTTTGGGAGATTATTGATGAGAAGTGGGATAAGCAGCTACATCGGCCATTGCATGCAGCTGGTTATTTTTTGAACCCAGCTTTGTTTTATATTGACAAGGATATACAAATAAATGACACAATTATGGATGGATTTAATAAGTGTGTAGAGGTGCTAGTCCCTGATCTTGAAATGCAGGGTATTATATTTGCTGATGAGCTGATAAATTAGAAGTGCTCATTAAAGTCTTTTAGGAGTCCAATGGCGATGAGGCAAAGGACCAAAATTAATCCAGGTATTAAATATTGTTATATTAATAATATTCTTAAGTTCATCTTCATCAAGTTCAACTGTTCAAGTAATCAAGTATTTCTATTATTTATTTATGATTTTTTTTTATTTCTTTGCAGCCCATTGGTGGAGCCAACATGGGTGTAGTTCTCCAAATTTACAAAAGTTGACCATTCGGATCTTAAACCTAACAACTTCTTCATCCGGTTGTTAGCACAATTGGAGTACTTTTGAAGGGGTAAGGCCATAAGGGTAATTTTTATAATTTTATAAATAATACATGAACTATAGATATTAGATTTTAAAATTTTAATTAGTTCACTTTCATTTTATTTTGTTAAGTTCATACAAAGAAAAAGAACAGGCTTGAAACAAAGAAGCTCAATGACCTTGTCTATATCGAGTACAATCGATTCTTGAAGTATAGATTTGCTAAGAGAGATAATAGAGACCCCATCAGATCAAAAAATATGGACAATGCTATGGAGTGGTTAGTTGATGATGATGAGGTCGAGGGGTATGAAGGATTGACATGGGACATGGTCATGGATGCTTCAGGGACATCAGCTGACCCTGCTAGGGCCACTAGAGCTTCTACACAGAGAACAAGGGTGGAGGAAGGGAAGGAAGAAGAGGCAGATTCACAAGAGACAGAGGAAGACGAGTCGTAATATGTCGAGGAGGGTGACGACTCCGTTGACTCCGATGAATATGATGCCAATGCAGCTGACCCAAGATTTTCTGATGATGAATGAATGTTGATTGTTGAATAATTATTAAACTTTGTTACTTTGAAGTTTGAACTTTGATTGAAGTATTGTGTATTGAACATTTGAACTATTGAAGATTCTTTTGGGTCTTCAAGTATTACTTTCATAGTTTTATAATTTGGTTGGTTGGCACATTTTAAGTTGTAATTGGATATGGATTATAGAGTATGAATTGACTTACGGATTATGGTTGTGCTTATGGAATGTATGCTAAATGCTAATATATAGTATAATTTGAATATAACAGATAGTCTGATACTCAAATAACTGCAGAATCCTTATTTGGATTCAACTGGACTGCAGAATCCTTATTTGGATTCAACTGGGCCGCCCAGAACCTGGGCGCCCGCCTAGTCGCTGAGCGGCTTGGACCCCTCAATCCGCCTAGGACCCGCCCAGCGCTTTTTGAAACACTGCTCATGTCTATTTAATTGTTTCTCTAGCGAAGTACCAAATCTATCCTCGTTTATTAAAAATTGTGCTGAATCATAAGGGCATTACCAGTCATTTTATTGCTGTTAAATTTAGAAGATTTCTATGGCATGTCAAATATTGTAGGATGTTAGAATTTAGAAATAGATTAATCATTGGAATAAGTGTGATGTATAATATTATTGCGCATTTTGGTAGAAGGTGATTGATTGTCCTGTTGTTGTCATCTTAGATGTTCTTTATTCTTGAGCTTTCCATTGGTAGAAGTGATAGCTAAAATGGTTCTTGCTTGCTCAGTCTAATCAAATTGTTAATGTTTTCTAGGTGGATGAGCACCTTATTGGTCTCCCAGTTAAGGAGCTCCCTGGAGTAGGACGTGCCTTAGAGGAGAAATTGACAAATCGGAATATTCGAACTTGTGACCATCTTCGTGCCATTCCTAAGGTTTTATACAATCATATCAAGTTAGTGATTTTCTTTGTCCATTGACTAGGAGAGTAAGTTCAAGTTAATCATTCTGCCTGCATTATACAGGGCATATGTTAATGTCCTGCTTGATCGAATGCATTTTATTGGAAAATGGAATTATTTTGACAATTTTAATTTAAGTCTAGTGTACTTTTCCATGCAAAGTATTTGGATGTTAAATGTTTGGACTAAGATACCTCTTGACTTAATTATTTATGAAATTTCATTTTCTTATTAGCCATTGTGCTCTAATTATTTGTCAACTTTGAAATACTTTTCAAGCTCTAACAAATGTTGCTTGGAGATGTGGAGAGGAGCTAATTTAGTATGTCATTACAGGTTGTTTGGATGTTAAATGTTTGGACTAAGATACCTCTTGACTTAATTATTTATGAAATTTCACTTTCTTATTAGCCGTTGTGCTCTAATTATTTGTCAACTTTGAAATACTTTTCAAGCTCTAACAAATGTTGCTTGGAGATGTGGAGAGGAGCTAATTTAGGATGCCATTACAGGTTGTCAAACTTTTCCAGTTCTATCAAAATGGATTATATTGGACTTTGACCATATATGCGTCCACTGTATATTAACAGTAGTATTTCCTATCTGTATGTTAATTATGTATGAAATCCGACACATCTTATGGAGACTTTTGCTGCCAATACCAATGATATCGATGTTGAAATACAAATGAAGGGCTGGTGCTTTGTGTTAGGGGTGGTTGAGCCTGTGTAGTTTTGTTATAATATTTAGTAAGAAACATTAAAATAATTAATACAGTTCATGGCTATCCCATTAGAGTCATGAAGGTTACTAGTGAAATGTAAATGCAATGGACAAATAATATTGTCATGTTGTTTCAAACTGGGTACGTTTTGTTGATGTTTGCTAGAGGCAATGTTGTCATTTTTCCCACTGCTAGATGTTTTATGTGCATTAAAGTTCTTTTAAGAATATCACTGATTGCATCTATATTGTGTATGGTATTTTGAATAGTTTCTAAAATTATTTCAATTAGGATATGAATTGAGATGAGTTTTGGTTCATTTTTTGCAAGTTACATTTCTTATCAAGATCTCCCATTTTCCCTTTATTTTTCATATTTTAATATGTTGTGTTATAAAATGATAACTGAGTAGAGCTACAGTGGAAAGGTGAACATTCCAATTGGAAAACATGGATGGTTGGAAAGAACATGATGAAGAAAAGAAACTGAAATACTAAATTGCTTCCATTATTAGAATTTCAGTGGGGAAACGGGGGAACTTTCCCTACAGTGCCAGCATTAAAATGCACAGGTCTATGTCCAATGACATATGATGGGGTTATAGTATACTTTCAATATGACAAGCATGTCTACAGCTGAATGAAGGTACTTGTGCTAAATTAGAATGGCAACAATGAAGGTGTCTTTGTTTTCCAGCTCGTGGACAGTAGGAGGTCATTCTAAATGGTTGTTGGGGATAGATAGGGAGAGAAATTTTGAGGAAACTAAACAGGCAAATGTTATAGATGGAAGCTCGAGGTAACAAACATCTGAAATTCGCGTCCAAGACCTGAGATAACATTTGTCTTCAAACATAGATTGCATTATGAGAATCACAAATGGATTTGAATTTTTGAAAGTAATGAATTATGGTAAGAGTACACTGATAAATATAAAGTGGATATCTCAGTTGATGCTCTTAGGGTTTGGATTGTTGGGAGAAAATTGTCTGCAGAGATGTCCGTACTTATTGAGAGGAGTCAAGCTCAATAGTAAGCCAAGTACATCCTCTGAGAGATTAGCATTAATCCATTGTAACCTATGAAGCATATCCAATATTTGGTTTAGGATGAAAACATCAAGATACCCAGAGAGTTCTCTATCTCTCTCTCCTATAGTTTTTTCCTTGACTCTTCTTTCACTCTATTTACAAATTTTTCACTAATAAGCTCTATTTATTCTAGTTGTTTTTCTCTCATCTTTATAGAAACTTTCTCTTCAAGTCTTAACAATTCATATCAAGGATGTTCACACCTAAACAATTTGGCTTAACTACTCTCAAGATGCATGGATATCTTTAGAAACAACTTTCTCTCAAAAATCCTAAGCTTGAGAACTTCATTTGAAATTTCAAAATCAAACATGTAGTCATGACAGCCTTACCATTATATTGTATCTTCAAAAATTGAATCTGTTTGTGATGCTCTTGTTTCTTTCGATCACTCAGGTTTTGATGAAGATAATGTGCTTCATATTCTCTCATATCTTAGTCATGAGTATGAGTTGTGCGTTACTTCAAGCTCCATAGTGCACCCATCCCAAAGTTTGATCAAGTTTTGCTCTCTCCTCAACCAAGAAATCTGTTTCTCTTAGTCATCTCAAAATTTCCTCCCTCAATATTGAACAACCTTTTGGATTGATTTTCAATTTGGTAGGAGACATGGATACATTTGTTGTAGCTAGTGTTTTAGAAAACACCTGATCAAACTGGAATTGCCTCGTTTTACCTACGATTGATGAGTGGGTGATCTGAGTCTATGGACCCTGAAATAGCCTGATTCCCATCTTATTTTATTGTTTAATTATCTTTTGCCCTATTCCAACCAATAAGGATTGCCAATCTGGCCTATTTGGACTGGCAAAGCTGGTGCCAATTGAACCTGCTGTTCCAGGTTTTAAAACACTGGTTGTGACTATTCCAACTTTTGATGATTCTGTTCATTCTACAATTGACTTGTTTGTGGTGGTTGTGGTTGTAACCCTGAATAATATTGGTAGACATGGGCATGGGCAATTTAATGCTGACGTTGGGGGACAAATCTTGAATTTCCCAATGCAAATTATCCCATTGAAAACAAGATGGTGGTTTGCCATGTCTGCAAGAATCCTGGTTATTATCCTGCTCATTATAATCATCACATCAACCAACATCGATTAAAACTGTTGCCACATGCTGCTGTTGCAACATCCCTTTTCGTCAATGGTTCCTGAGTTGCACCGCTGACCATATGATTCTAGATGCGGGTATTCTCATTTGATTTCATTCCTGAAGATAAGTCTTAAGGATACTCTGCTATTGTCCAAATTTGACACCCAGGGTTGTTTAAATTGTGCTGTGTTACTTATATTCTCTTGTAGTCTAGATTTAGCATCTAGGTTCATTTAGATTGTTTCATATTTAGTATTTTAAAAACTGAATTATAGCTTTAATTGTATATTGGAATCCTGTTATCCAGAAGTGGTTTTTGATGTTTTCTGATTACGTAGGATCATCTTCCTGGGTCTTAGATCCTGATTTACACAGCTTGAAGGAAGTTAACAAAAAATTTAAAAGTTTGGGGAGATGACTCCTTGATAACTTTTTGAAATAAATGATAGGATGTGCTGAATAATCAACAAGGAGAGTAAAATGAGATTTATGAGGTAAGACAAATGTGCCAATCCTAAGAACTATGGTATTGGATCCATCAACTCGAGAAAACAGCTGTACTTGCTTTGACAATTTATGGCACTTACTTTGGCGCCTCGCTTCTAGAATGAAGTACTTTTCTCAATAAATTAGTGAGCTCTTACAAAGAATTAATGTCATGGTGAGCACTATTTTTTTGTCAGCACACTGCTTTAGAATTGATTATTATAGTTATAGGAACCTAGGGCCTGTGAATGGATCTTACTTTTACTGTTTATTTCCATTTAGTTGAGTCTATCCTATGGATGGTTTAGTTCTTCTAAAGCTATCGATGTTGTTATTTTCAGGAAGTTCTCCAAAATGAGTTTGGTGTAAAGATTGGTGAGTTGCTGTGGCATTATTGCAGGGGAGTTGACAATCGCTCAGTTCAAGTGGTTCAGGTGAGCACATGGATGTGTATATTTGTCCAATGATTCTTCCCAGACGGTGTTTCTATTGCATGATTGGGCAAAGAAATGTGCTAATTTATTGATTATTGGGCTGTATTATTAATTAGTGCTGAAGCTTTTGTTTCTTTGTCATTTTTTGCAATGTCTATCCTCGCATAATGTACCTTTCTGGGAGAAAACGTGAACTTTTTAGTTTCATGGAACTGTTTGCTTGGTTTCTCCAAATGTCATTTCCAATATATGAACAATTTTATGATAGATGTTGCTTCAGCGAACTTCCTTCGCAACAAGTTAGAAGGATTCTTCTGTTGATTGGTTTTTATATGACGAGGTTTCTTCAGTGAACTACCTTCCATTCTTTTTTATTACATATCCTAGTGCCTATTCTTTTCTCACACTGAAATTTTACCCATTAGGTGCTTTTGATTTTGATGTGATTTAGTTCCAGTGATGCAATGAAGCATTAGGTATAAATTTATAATGGAGGAATGCTGGATTGGTTATCTTTCCTTGGGTCTTTCATCTTAGTGTTTGAACAACTTGTCATGAAATTCTTCAGGAGAACAAATCTGTTGGGGCTGAAGTGAACTGGGGTGTGAGGTTCAATGAACTAAAAGACGTGAGTATCTCAATTATTAAATGTCTAATGCCTGAGCATATTGTGTATGTAATTAGACAAAATTTATTGAATTGGAGCAATTGCAAATTTCATGTTTTGTTTCCTAGAGTCAAGAGTTTCTTGTCAACCTATGCAAGGAGGTCTCCCTTCGCTTGCAAGGATTAGGACTGCAAGGGCGCACCATAACACTTAAGGTATTTCTGTTTCTTTAACTACTGTTCATTATAAAAGTGCAAGAATCGTGTTTAATCACAACATTCTTATGGTTTGTTGGGATCTTTGTGAAGGAATTTGGTTGGGTCTTGATTTTAAGTTTCTTAACTGATATTCTGGTACTTTCATGAAATATCTTAGGTGAAGAAAAAGAAAAAGGGTGCTCCGGATCCTGCAAAATATATGGGATGTGGCGACTGCAAAAATCTTAGCCATTCCATGACAGTATGTTTTCATTTTAGATTCAACACAACTTACATATGTACGTTGTAGTTCATTTATTGCGATAAACTTCTGGAGTCAGTTAAACATTCTAATCTTTGCGATTCTAGATTCATGCTGCTACAGATAATGTAGATGTGCTTTTAAGGATAAGCAGGCAACTTTTTTCTTCCCTTAATTTAGGTGAGCTTTGTGTCCTCTTAATTGTATTTTCTCTCCATTCTCCATCGACTGCATGATGTTATCCGTTTCATTTTGCGGGATAATTTATAGAGGAAATTGCTCCTGGGGTTATTGAATTGCATGATTCCAGATAGTGTAAAATTTGTAAATTATGGCTGTAAATCATAAATTTGGAGATAGAACCATGTTTTCCATGAATGTGATAGAACCCTGATTATGTGAGTATCAACTTAATTAGTTGTCTTGTGACATTGACTCATCTCCGTTAATGTAAATTATCCATAAAAGACTTACTTGAGAAATGAATATAATCAAGTTTGAAATAAATTAGTGCAAGTATCAGCAAGGATATTTAGTTATAAAGAGAAAAAATTTCATGGGATTCATGGATATTATATTTTTAGATATCGATGCTTATGATTTAAGTTTTGGTGCATTTAAATCTGTAAATTTAGCATGAAAAGGTGTTTCTAATGAGTTTTATTGTTGTCTAATGGTGGAGAAAAATCATAGAAGTGTCCAAATCAATCATGGAAATGATTATTAAACTTGCTAATGGGTTTTCTTTGCGTGATGCTCTCATGAGATATTAGAAAAGTAAATTTGAACTATTTAGTTAAAACTTAATATTTTTTGTTGCATTTTTAATTCATCAATATCATCCTCCAATGCTATTTGATTTTCTGTCTAGAGTTTTTTCCTTTTTTTTTTTTAAAAAAAGAAAAAAGGTTTTCTTCTTTTGGATAAGTGGAACACTCATTATTTATAGTTCTTAGTTGTGGTAGGCTTAATTAGCATATAAAAGGCCTTTCTAAATTTCTGTTAATTTCTTTTTTCGTTCGGTCCTGTTTTTATTCACACTAGTCTATTATTTGGAGTCAAGATAAGAGATATTTAAGCAGAGATGGAGTCGTTTTTTTAGGTAGCGTTTCATTAGATTTGTATAACAGATGAAAAAGAGTTTTAAAGATTTTAGGGATGAGAGAGAGAGAGAGAGAGAGAGAGATCTTGGAGCATGGTTGTTGGGACCAGAAGTCTTGGATCTATACTTGGCTAAAACTTCCTCCCTACCTTGGAAGCACCCAGTAGCGTTGTTTAGGAAGCGAGCTTGGGAATCGCTTGATATATGTACCATATGTCCATATGTATATTGGATTGCTTGGGGAACACTTAATATATATTTGGGAAAGGTTTCTATACTTCCCCTACAGCATAGAAGATCTATGCTTCCCCTACCATCCAGCCGTCCAATTTTGATCAAGAGAGCCACTCACTGTTTGATCTTTAGATCCGATGTCTCAAAGTATATTATTTTTAGTTTTTTTTATAAAAATTGTATGACTATGAAATTTGGTAAGTTTGTTTTATAAAAATTTTATGAATATGAAATTTGGTGCATGCCATCTTCTCATTGGGGCGCACCTATAAAAAATATAAAAAATACTTTTTCGATAAAATATAATGACCAAAATATCCCTTGAAATTTTCAGGGGTATTTTGGTCATTTTATTTTATTGGAAATATTTTTTTTAATATTTTTCGCTAGTGCGAGATTAATAGAGGATTGGACGTACAAAATTTGGTGTCAAAATAGTAAAAATTAAAAATAAAATAGTGTAAAGACGTGACATTATGATTGGGGCAATCTTAGCCCTCCATTGAAAATGAACGATTGGATAAGGGGAAGTATGTAAGTTTTATGTTGCAGGGGAAGCATAGAAAGCTTGCCCTATGTATTTTCAAGATCTTTCATGGTTCTTTCAAGATTTTAAAAGGTGGTTGCAATTCTTTCTAGAAAATGAATTGCTTTTCAAAAAACCAAATTTTTTAGAAAGATTCCTTGAATCTAAGTAGAATTGGGAAAGTATGGAATCATGTTATGGATCACAGTTTTGAAAGAGTATGCAATAATGCAACAAGGATACCAGAGTGATACCCTGCTTGATCATGATGGTGAGTACTGGGATTGATAGATAAGATTTAGAGGCCTCTCTCTGACAGAGCTCCTATGGGAGGCATAAGTCCAAATTCGACTCAAACTCAAGAAAACCCTATATAAAGCTTTGGCGCAACTCGCCGTACATGAAACATGTCTTTGTTTGAAGAAACTAAGGAGCAAGTTTGGTTTTGAGGCTTTTTATTCTTGTATAAGTGTCGGACAAGAAAAGTATAAAGAAGAAATAATTTAGTTTTTGGGTCTTATGAAAGGTGTTTCTGGGGTTAGAGTCTCTTGCAAACCTAGAGAGGATCAAATTCTCAATCTTTGGGCTGGAGTCCCCTGCAGACCCAGATAGAAGGCACATCCTCTCACCCCATTCATTATTTTTCTTTTTTCTGGTTTTGTTCTTCCTCCTTCCTGCATCAATTGATACCTCGTGGAGTAGGAAATTTAGTGATCTACTTATTGTTCACCTGATTCTGTAGCTCCTAAGTAGCGTGTCTTCCTGCATCCACCTCAGACCACAACCTTGTCTCTCTCTAATTCGACCAATCAATTAACTAGGGCCTTAAGATTTTCCGCATTTTCAAACATGCCATTTGACAATCAGAATTATGAAGAAATGATCGGCAATTTTTGGAACCAATAACAATGGTTGTGCCATCTATAGGGTCTCTAACTAATTGAAGAATATTAAAAAAGCACTACAATCTACAACTTCTTTGATTCCATACATCCCGAAGTTAGGGAGACTGAAGAAGTAGGTAGGGTACAATGATTAACTCAAACAAAAACCCAGACAACCTTGACTTGTAGAATAATAGAAAAAAGATAAAATAAACTCCAATCCCCCTTGCCAATAAGAACTCTTATGACAACAAAAATCAAAGGTAAAGTTTGTTGATAAACCAGGGAATGTCTTCATAACCTTAGGTGACCATGTTTGTGGGTGTCCATATTAAGTCTTACTTTTTGACTGCTTATCTGGTATTTAGGAAGGGTCTGTTGGATTGTGTAATTTTCATTTTCCATGGTGGCTCACTTTTCTAAGAGTGTGATTTAGTGTATTCTCTTGTTATTTGTTGAATTATTAAGATGTTGCATGGGAATGAAATGATGCTAGTGAACTGTTCTTATAAGCTCATGCAGTCATGTAAGCTCATTTATATTGTTCCATTTTCCAAAGGATATCCTTTTTTTTCAACATTTAAAAATACTGCAATTTTAAACGAAAATCATTTTCCATCTATTTTCTTGCATTCAGTGTTTTCGTTTCACCCTTGTGTGTGGAGTAGAATTTTTTTAAAAAGAAGTTTCTTCGTGTGAACTAGAATCTTTACTCTAATTTTTACTTATTATAGCCCATGAGACTACTTGAATCTGCTAATATTTATCATGATCTGTTTTTTAAGTAGCTATATTGTTTTCTTCACTCTACCGTGTTTTCGACTATCTGGATGCTCATGTTACAGATGTAAGAGAAGTAAGGGGTTTAGGCTTGATGGTGTCAAGGCTGGAAACAGCAGAGTTCATGCAACAAGGTCATAATCAATTTTTTTTTCTTTTTTAGTCTCGAAAGTGTTTGAGAATTAAATCGTGCGCATGGTCTCCAATTACAATATTGGCATGGCTCTGGGTTGGTGAAAATCATGTTCTGGTGGGCTTAGCTTATTAATTAATCTGGGTTTTGCTTCACTCGTATTCAAATTGTTTAAGGTGTTGCATATAAAGATCCAAAAGGATGTCTGGGTTTTTTTACTTCCACACTTTTGCGTGTGTTTGTGTGTCTGTGGGCCAAGTGAAGGGGTGGGGGCAGGGGCAGCAGCAGCAGCAGCTCTGCGTGGTTTGCGCCATGGACAAATTTCACAGATTGGGCAATTGACCTCCCTCGTGTGTATGTGTGTGTGTGTGGTTTGCGCCATGGACAAATTTCACAGATTGGGCAATTGACCTCCCTCTGTGTATGTGTGTGTGTGTATGTGCGTGCGTGGTGTATTTTGGTTCAACATTGACAGCAGCGAACTTAACATCTGTTGTCTCCAATTCAGCCATTAAAACTGTCCTCCAAGAAATTTACTCTGATAATTTTGTGGTCTTATGCTCAAGGTAGTGAAAGAAATGGTTTGAGAGCATGGCTTGCTTCAGCCTCAGAAACTAACAAAGAATCATGTAATATAGTTCATTCTGCCAATGATAATGTATCTAAAGGTAAAATTTTATTTGAAGGTATTCAATTTTCTTGAGTTACCTTTGAGCATAAGGTTTTTGTTGCTCGAATTGAAGCAGTAAAAGTTTTACGGGTGTCTGTTGTTGAGTTCTGAATATTCCCTTGTACTGAAAGTTTACTGTCTTGCAACAGGGGCATTGTCTGTTGATGGTTATGGGAGTTCCAGTTCAGTTCAGCATGAAACACAGTTTGCTCAAAGCTTTGCACAAGCAAGCACAAAGGTGATGAGTTCCTCAGAAAAAGGGAAATGTAAAGAGATGGTCTCCCCACTAGTACCAATGTCTCAGCTTGATTTAGAAGTCCTGGAGAGTCTGCCACATGACATCCATTTTGAGATTAATCAAATGTATAAAGGCAAACTTACTGACTTGATGGAAAATTGTAAATACATAAGAAACGATGTCCCCCCTGTAAAATCGATTCCAGAAGCAATAAAGGAGAACCCATCTGCAAGTTGCTCAAAATCTCTACCTGATGGTCCTTCCAAAGCAATGCGTCATTGTCATAGTGATCTCTCAGATTCAACATCACAATTTAAAATTTCGGTCAAGCATTCAATAGGTTCTCCTGTCACTGACCATGTTACTCTTCCTGCTAAACATAAAGTGAGTAATTTGTTTTATTGCATAGTCATATTGCTTTTGCTTTATATCATATTATCTCTGTGAACTTTTCCCTGTCAAATGTGTCAAGGTGACTAATGAATTTGGATGTTCTATTTCATCAGACTCTTATATTGTACAGTTAGTCCGTAGTAGGAGTAGCAACAGAAAGAATATGGATTATGATTTGTACTTCTTTGTATCACCAAATTAGGGCATGAGATATTAGATATTTATCTTATGTCAGTTGATAGTCATGCTTTCAGTGCTATTACTGTAAGAGAGTTGCGGGTCATGATTCTTGGCTTGGATATTATGATATATAATTGAAGTTCTGCATATTTTGATAACTTGATAACATTCACGAACTTAGTAAAATATAATTTGGATGCTCCTAACTGCAAATTTGGGACAGCTCCTACCCACAGCATGCATCTGCATTAGAACATACTCTACAAACAGCCTCACCCTTAAACCATTAAGACCCACATTTGCTTGGCCTTGATGCCTTTTCATTTAGTATTGTCTTTTGAAGAGATTAGTCCTGTCCGGTTTGGAATGGGGCTGGATTGAACAAACAAGAGCATCTTCGAAAAAATGTCTTGTCCCCCTCGCCCTCCTCGCCTAGTGGCTACCCCCCATGCTTCCCGTCTTCCTCCCCACCTCCATCCCCCTATTCATTCCGTCACCCTCCCCACCGCATCAAAACCAGCCAGCAACCCTCTTTCCCTTCCAGCCCCGCCTCTCCCACCTCTTTGTTCCAGTTATACTCACCTTATAAAACCCTCTTCTTTCCATCAGCCGCTGCTTCATCATATCTCTTTGCATTGCCCATCCGCCCGTACACCAACTCCTCCCACTTCCTCTCTATTTCAGTCATCCCCTGGAATCCCCTCGCCACAACCTGGTACTCGACCCCAGAAATTTTTACCAATTGACTTCCCTCAAATCTAGAAACTCCACAAAAACCTTGCCTCATTCTTGGCGGGTCGCTTCTTCCCTAGAAGAGATGATATCCAAGGTATAGAATGTTGGGGACAAGATTTCTGGAAAGAATCTAATCTGGGGTGTCGCAAGCTCTTCGATAGCTCCATTCCTTTTTCCTTCCCTTCAGAATCTACCACCCAAAGGGCTCTTCAATCTACCACCCCTCGATTCAAGGGAGCTTCCCTTTCCCTCATAGCCTGGTCTCCTGATCTCAGTGCTTCCAAGAAACACCATATTTGGGCTATTTTCTCCCACATCCCATTACATCTCTGGCACCCGACAACCTTCAATGCCCTTGGAGATCGCCTAGGGTCCACAGTCCTCATCTACTGGCAATCCCTGGACCAGCTCCCCCGGGGTTGCATCAGACTCCTAGTAGAAGTCTTTGATTCCAATTCCATCGTGGTCCACTTGTTTATCTCCGCTGCAAGCCTCAATTATCAAGTTAAAAGTTTCTTGGAGATGGCTTCCGCTGTTCCTGCCTCTAAAAACCCTAGAATCCATTAGAGGAAGGTGAATGCAAGTGGTTCGCAGAAAACACAGATCGAGAAGCCCCTACTGTTGATGTCATGATAGTGCGGATCACAACCCTTCCCTTGCTAAAGTTGCGGCTCCTGGCAACCCATCTCATCCCCTCCATTCCTTCAGACTAGCCTTCCAGGGTGATCACCGTATAATAACAGATCTAATCGCAACTAGAGGTCCAAACCAATCTCATGTTGATGTCAGTCCTATTGCTCTACCCCAGTCACTCAGCCCCAACCGAAGCCCAAATACATCTGTCATCTCTCTGCCCCATCTCAGATACTCAATGCAAAAGGTCGCCAGCTGTCTTCACCTTTGCTCCCTCCTAGGGCATGCATGTGCCATGTTTTGTCCCTTCCAGCCGACCTCCTGGCAGCATGCAATCCACCTGTCAACACCTTCTTGCACGAGCCTTTGGAAATGTTGCAGACCTTATCCCCTTACCCGAAACCCAACTCAAGCTATTCCTTCCCTCATCCAACTCAACGGCGATGACACCCTTCTCATTAGGCACGCTGGACCCTCTTCTCCATCATCCCTGTCCTCCCCTCACCCAACACCATCTCCTTCATCTTCTACCTTATTGGCTCTGACCCCGAAACACTCCAATCAGAGATCTTGCACTTACCCCCCCGGCTGGCTAGGGGCCTCCGGCACCCCTGCCACTTATGTGAATCCCGATAGCCTTTCCTTCATCTCGCAGGCCTATGCATTCCTCCCCCCCAAGAATCACCAAAACTCACCACGTTTCCACCCCTCTCCTCATGATTGGCCACCCTCACAACCCACCACTCCTCTCCAACCCTAACCAGCCCCCCTCTTCTCATTCTCAGTGCTTTCTACCCTGCCCTAAATCTTACTGGCTTCTCAATCCAATGCGGTGCCCCTCCATTTTTCCCTGTCCCCATCTCTGTTTCGCCCCAGCGTCATCATCTCCATTCTCCTCTCCACCATCACACCTTGTGTTTTTCTTACCCTCATCCTCTCTCATTCTCCCCTCGGCCCAATTCTCTTGTCACCCTCCACCAACCCATGTTCTCCCCTTCCTAGCACCACCAACACTTTTTCTGCCCCCCTCCCCACCTTCTCCTTGACATCTTCATCACCCTCTGAGATTCAACCCTTGACCACCTCTCCTTCCAATCCTCCTCAGAGGCTCTAGCGACTGGCCCTTTGCCCACAGCTTCTTACCATTCTCACCCACCCTCCCCTTTCCCCAAAATTTCATCTTCTTCAGAGACCAACCCCTCTTCCCCCCCTTCTGTGGATGCCAATTTCATCAACAATTTGAATTGTGCCCAAGGAGACAACAAGAAGGTTCTCAAGGTCATTGGCTTTGAAAACCTCCCCAAGCAGCAGGCTGGGTCTTCCAAACACTCCACCGCCAGATCTTGTAGCCCAAGACCCAAGGGAAAGAAGGGCACCAGAGAATTGGCTAACCTTAACTCAAGGATTTGCTACAATAAGGAAAAATCCCCGAGGCAGCATCATCCCCCTCCCTCCTCGGCTCAGCCCACCAACTCCTCAAGGAGAGCCACTAGGAGGTCCCACACCCTATTGCTTCCCAGATGAAAATCATAATCTGGAATATTAGGGGTCTCGGTGGACCCATGAAATTCACCTCAATTAGAGACCTCACCATACAATGGAACCCAACCATCCTGCCACTCACTGAGACCAAGAAACCATCCCACTCCCTCCTAGATGTTCGCAAGGTGTGGGGCACAAGACCATGCTAATGGTGCACCCTAGAAGCCTTAGGAGCCTCGGGCGGAATTTAGGTCATTTAGGACCCCACCCTTTGGAGTCTTTCTTCGTCCTTTGTGGCCAATTTCTCCGTAACCATTGGCATCAGCAGAGTATATGATGGCAAACCTTGCAAATTCTCATCAATTTATGGTCCTAACTTAGAGAGCCTCAAACCACAGTTTTGGGCAGAACTGGATACTATCGCTACTATGTCGCCGAAATGTTGGTGCTTGGGAGGCGACTTTAATGTCACTAGCTGATCCTATGAACGCAACACCTCCTCAAGGGCAACCACCTCGATGACACAGTTCTCCGACTTCATCACCAGAAATATTTAATCGATATTCCCTTGGAAGGAGCCTGCTACACATGGTCCAATCACTCTTCCAATCCCTCTGTATCTAAATTGGACCATTTCTTAATTTGCACCTCCTGGGATGCTACTTTCCCAAGATCCCATTCCTCTACCTTGCTTAAACCCACCTCTGACCACAAACCCATCCTCTTTGATACTGAAATCGCATTCCGAGGCCCAAAACCACTCCTCTTCGAACTTGCCTGGCTGGAAGAAGCCGAGTTTCATGGTCTATTTCAATCATGGTGGACATATTTTGCTTCTTCAGCCATTGGATAGGCTGGCTTTAAGCTGCAGCGCAAGCTTTAAAGGTTGCGCCATTCTCTCAAATCTTGGAGTCGAAGTTACCAGGAAATTTTCATACTCAAAAGAACAACATCCTCCAATGCTCTAAAGAACTTTATTGGTGCCAATGCTCAAGGGTCCGATGGTTGAAACTAAGGGATCAAAATACATCATTTTTCCACAGAATTGCAAATTGTAGGCTCAAGGGTCCGATGGTTGAAACTAAGGGATCAAAATACATCATTTTTCCACAGAATTGCAAATTGTAGAAGGAGAGATAATGTCATCTCACAAATCAAATCGGGCAACCAGACCATTATGGAGCCTCACCAGGTGGAAGCAACCATCTTCGAATACGTCAACCATTTGTAGCCAGCAACATACCCAAACCAAGAATGTCTGATCTTTCCTTCAAAACCATCCCCATAGATAGAGCCTCTTCGCTAGAACGCCTCTTCTTTGAAGCGGAAATTGTGAGGGTCATCTCAGACTTGGGCCAATATAGAGCCTCGGGACCTGATGGCTTCCCAATAGCCATGTTCAAGCACTTTTGGAGACCATGCACCCTGACTTCATCGCTTTCTTCCATGAATTTCACGAGTGGGGCATCGTGCACAACGCTATGAATGCAAATTTTATTGCACGCATACCAAAAATCGAGGGCGCCGAGGAAATCAAAGATTTTAGACCCAATAGCCTCATAAATAGCTTATATAAGGTTCTGGCTACTAGAATGAGGGAGGTAAGGGGTTTTGTCATCTCACAAAACCAATGTGCTTTTGTCAAAGACCGGCAAATGCTTGACGGGGCTCCCATTGCCCATGAATGCATCCACTCTCGTCATGTCGCAAGGGTGCAGGGACTGGTTATAAAACTAGATTTGGAGAAAGCGTATGATCATATTGATTGGTACGTATCGGACGTAATTCTTAAGCGAGTGGGCTTTGGTTGAAAATGTAGGTCATAGATGAGGAATTGTATTTCTATTGCCCAATTCTCAATTTTGATCAATGGACCCCCTAAGGTTTTTTTTTTCATCTTCTAGAGGTCTCTGACAAGAAGACCCCCTCTCACCTTTCCTCTTTGCCATAACCGCCAAAGTTTTCAGCGGGTCCCTGAAAAGAATGTATAACCATAGACTGTTGGATGGATTCAAAGTTGGCAATGGGAGCCTCATTATCTCCCACCTCCAATATGCCGACGACACTCTTGTATTTTGTGATGCTTCTGAGCAGCAAGTCCAACCCCTTTCCTTGTTTCTCAAAGCCTTCCAGCTAGCTACGGGATTCAAAGTGAACTTGAACAAAACCAAGATGATGGGGGTGGCTATGAACAGCCACCACACTGCTCAGTTTGCATAATCTTGCGCGGGGTAGAGTCTTTGCCTACCTCCTACCTTGGCCTATCTCTATGCTTAGGAAAACCCAAAAAAAACCTATGGGGGCATATCATTGACAAGTTCGACCGCAGATTTGCTAGTTAGAAGGGTCGTTATCTCTCTTCAATTGGGAGAGTGACACTCATTAAGGCAACCTTATCGAATGTTCCCATTTCACAAATGCCCCAATTTCACATCCCGGCCTCAATCGTGGTCCGACTAGAGCAACTAATGAGAAATTTCCTTTGGTCGGGGGGTGGCACAACCAACAAATATCATCTAGTTGCTTGGGAGAAGGTGTGCAGGCTGAAAGTCACGGGTGGCTTGGGAATCTTGAGTATAAGAGACTCCAATACTACACTATTATCCAAATGGTGGTGGAGCAGGAGCTCGAGCGGTACTCGCTTCATCCCATCAAGGGATCTCGATCCCTAAGTATTGGGGTCTCCATCCACTCCTTCAAATTGTCTACTTTTGTGGTTCTTGATCTAAAAGATGACCATAGTGACAATTTTTTCCTTGAGACACTCTGGTGAAATACTTTCGCCTGTGAAAATTCTGAAACCAGATGGACCACAGGGTGGCTGATACCGTAGCCTTCCATAGCATTGTCCTTTGTTTAGGCCACGAAAGGATCGCTTATGGGGAACGCCCTAGCATGAACATATAACATAGATTCAGGATTCTTGAAAAGATGTGGCAAAATTTTACGCTGGCTGCCTACCTAACACAACTATCCTCCTTTACTCGGCCTTGGGACTGGCATGACTGGCATGGGGACGGCCAAGGCGCAGTTGTATGATTGCATAGTTGTCTTTGGTAAATTACTGGCAGTCAATACTTATCTTATTGCATTGATTCATAGATTTGTAAATTTATAAACTTATTGCCATCTGGTCCTAAAGCCTTTCCTATTTATTGTGTTAATTTGATATTATTCTAAAGTGTATTGTATTGATGGGATATTTCATATATTGTGTTTTTCTCTTCATTTTTGTTTTAAATCTGTAATTTATAATAAGAACTCTTTTCTTGAATTTTGTAATGTTTTGTGTCATTTCATGCATTTATTGTATTTCACTTTAAATATTCTTTAAAAATCTTTTCCTTTATTTTAATTATTAATTTTTTATACATTATACAGTAATGTAATTGGTTACTTTTATTAATATAAAAGGAGTTCCATGCTGGTCATTCTAGACCATCACACCACTCTCCTCTCTGTCTCTCTCTCTCTGTCTCTCTTCCTCATGCCTCTCACTCTCTTTTTCTCTTTCTTCTTCTTTCTCTTTCCCACTTTTACTATTTTCTAATCTCTTACTTTTACTTTTCCCTCCTTTTTCTCTTCTTTAATTTTCCCTAGATTATTTTGAACTATGCCTAGGCAGGCAGGGTGGTCGCTTTTGCCAAAGGGGCCTATTTTTTGTTTCCTTTGAATTTCTGCAAATGGACTATGTATAACCTGGTGCCCTACCTTTCTTGTACTTTGTGCCATACCAGAACGTTCTTGATGTCCTCTTCTTCATGTCACTATGGGTAACAAATGAGTTTTCTTGAATGGACAAAATATTCTCAATGGATATGAGATGTTTGGTCTACGGATACTAGAAAAAGTTTAGGGCTCCCACAAATTACTGATGTGCACCTTCATCTTTTAGAATTCCGCATTCATCTTTCTTTAAATTTATATAAGCTTTTAGAGAGGGTTGCATAGGCATAGGATCTCACAAACTGGAGTTCCAACAAATTTCTAGCATAATGTTTAACATATAGAGGACTCTTAGGGAGTCCTCAACAAATTTCTATCATAATGTTTGTTATGAAATTCCATCTTTCAATTGAATAAAGCTTTATACCATTTTTACTCTGCCTAGCAGCATATGTTTACCGCACCCAAGTTGTCTGTTGTAGTTTCTGTTTAATTAGGTCAACATCATTTTCTTTGAAAATTTGTTTGAACACCTTACATAATTACCCTGTAGTACTTATTACTCTAGAGTACTGATCTGTTTTTTTACCATTTCCAGTTCTTTCCATCATATAATAATTTTCATCTGTTAGTCATCTTTCGCTTTGTGATTCATGCATGCTTGTGCTGGCTGTTTCGACGTACATGCTGATCATGGATGATCTATTTTGATAGGTAGAAATAGAAAACCTTGAGAGGATCGAAGCAGCCTCCATTTCTCCCACTGGAGACATAAATATGCATGCTACCATCATGAAGGGGAACATGGCAGATGTGATGCCTGCATCTACACGTAAAGTCGCCAGATCAGTTATACGAGATTTGCCCGATAATTTACACCATGATATTCTTGATTCACTTCCTGTGCATTTTCAAAAATCTGGTGATTCTATTTTAGTTTGCGAGAATGTTTGCCCTGGTGAAATATTCAAGTCAGACACTACTGAAAGCTCTAGGGGAAGGATGGGTAGTGTTGTTAATATACATATGTGGAAAGGGAATCCTCCGTCTTGGATTTCGAAGTTTAAGCATAGCAACTTCTTAATATTAAATCTTTTGGCAGAATATTACAGCATGTTTGGCGAACCTGGCCTGCTGTCCAATACTCTGCAACGTCTCTTATCGGCCCAAGCTCTAGATCTTGATGCTGGGAATAATGAATGGGATAAGGCTCTATCAAGTTGTTGTGAGCTTCTTACACAGTACATTGAGCTAAAAATTAAATCAGACATGGAGGAGATATTTATTTGCTTTCGGCTTCTGAAAAGGTCCGAATTTTGAACATGTTGTCTTTCTTCCCTTAATGCTACATCTCGTTATAAGATTGATTTTGCATTTATACTGATCAGCACATGCAAGGTTACTGTTCTCTTGCTTTGTTTTAGTTCATATTATGCAGCATCTACTAGCCCATCATGTGCCTCATTTCTTTGCTGGATATGAGTTTTGGATTCCTGTAATTTTTCCTGGAACATTGATAGTTCTCATCGTACAGATACATGCTTCAAGAATAGTTACCTCATGTATGACTGTGTTATGGAATTCTACGGTAAATATCATGGTTTGGGGACCATGAGTCTTAAATCAGGGTTTATCATAAACTGCCATAATCTAATGAGGTGTTGGCCTGGTCAAATTAGTTGGTTTGCACTTGGCTTGATCAATTTCTGATTAAAGGGAATCCGGAAATCTCTATTATATATGTACACACCCAGATATGTATGTTGCTATGCATTAACACAATATATGCATGCATGCATGCAATGCTTGCAACTATGTATGTCATGCATGCTTGCATGTACATGTTTTTTAATTTATAATGCACATATAAATGTATCTTCATAATGCAGAAATGTATGTACATATGGATGGATAGATGTATACATCGACACACACACACGCACACATAAACTTCACGTCATTGTAGCCAAGTTGGTTTACTCATATTTTGTAATACAAATCCCTGTGAAGTCTATCATATTACTTGAGTCCTTAAATATAAATCTCATAAACAAACTAGTAACTACATTTCTACTCCAAAATGCAATTGGGGATGGCATCAGTAAGCTGTTTACCAGTTTACAATATGCCTGTAGTTAATTTGAAACTGAAGCCCCCAAATCCCCCACTCTAAATTTTATCTATTTTAATTTCTTCCCTCTCTACCAGTCAATCCTATGTCACAGGTGTTTCTTTGGGAACTTGAGAGTCTATTTCATTCCTGATTGTCATCCCTGTGGATTTCCTTGTATGCCCATGAGTCATTTCTCTTGCTCTCTTAACAATGCCCCTTCCTACTCTCTCTCTCTCTCTCT